TCGGTATTTGACTTTTTGAATTTAACCCCATAATGTGTTCGCATCTTCCAGCTGAAGCACGATGTAGGTCCTGGAGTAGAAAGCATTTAACATCGTATTGCGCCCTCATTTCATTTTTAATATCATTCATTCAGAATTCAAACCAATAAAAAAATGTACACTTCAATATAGAAAAAAGAAAAATAATCTTCAACTGGTTCGCTGATTTTTTTGCGGCAAATTTTTAAAGTTGATTACTAATTTTGTCGGTAGAATGTACTATTATTTTGAAATTCGATTCGATTGAAAAATTGTCGATTTTTCCCGATTCTAGAATTTTCGTATAAAGCGACAACGGATAAAATTGTTATTTATAGATTTTATGTATTTATTGGGTATTACGAATAAATACATAAAATCTATAAATAAATTTTTTTCCGTGTGGCTTTATATTACCCAAAAAAACCTACACATCATAATAGAATTCAAAAAAAAAAAAAAAAAAAAAAAAAAAAAACACTACAAATGTACATTCGAAAATAGTAAGTCAAAATGGAAAAAAATATGCAATATAAAACATTACTATTGTACATTTTAAAAGTCAAAATGAAAATGTTCAAATTTCACATTTTTACGCGATTTTTTTGGATTTTATTCTTTTCTGCCAAGAGGCAATTCCGAATTTGTCTAAATCGTTAAAATCAGACCGGCGGTCTTTATGTTATAAGAGTAGTAACTAACACAACTTTCTTTTACATATAGAGAGATAGATTTAAAAGTAGGCGCGTTCCTCAGCCCCTAAATAAGTACTTAGGGTTGGATGGAAAGCCAACAGCATCTCGTGTAATAATTCTAAAACTGATATCTTCACTATTTTGGCAAATACAAAAATTTCAGATAAATCGTAATAGTGGGCGTAAAATGAGTCGTGGTCAATATTTTTTTCTTCAAAAACCTAACTCGGGGTATGACGAACGTTTGTACAAAAAATTATGCAAATCGGTCCAGCCGTTTTCAACTGATTCCGTTACCAACAAACAACAATTGATTTTTATATATATAGATTAACACAATTAAAATATGGCAATTTGTTTAATTAGTGAAATATAGTTAAAGAAGATTATTTATGGAATGTAAACCGTTTTTTTCAGATTCTCAATTTTTCTGTGGCATGAGTTAAGGAGAGAAAAAAATGTTCACAATTTTAGTAAATGGACCATACATTTAGTAATAGAGATGCCAAAATGTCCATTGAATAGGCAATGTTAGGTATACTTAAATGCCAACATTTAAAAAATGCGAAAAAGGCGGCAAATTGTCCTCTCTATTAAAAATAAATAAATAAATAAATAAATAAATCTGAAAGAATATTTTTTTAACAAGGTGCAAGATTCACTACTCTTAGCAAGGTATTCCTAACACAAAAATCTGAATTTAATTTTATATTTAATAATATATTTAGTACTCTTTATCTATTTCAAGTACTTTTAATTAAATTATGTATTTTTAATTTTTTTTTTTATTTTTTAAAAGACTTCATGCAGAAATTTTAGGATTTTATAAAAGTGTAGCATGTACCCTCTACTTCTTCAGCGAAAAGTTCGTGCTAGGTTTAAGTGCTGATAACGCTCAATTACACCAAAAAGTCTTCAAAATCTTGCAATTTGTAATTTACCGAGGAGGAATTATCTGCCCAAAAATATTTCAATGTTTCCATATGTAAAATGTAGAAACAAACATTTACCTCAATGTCAAATTTCAGAGTTCAGAAATTTTTCATTTTTCGTATGTTTAAAGTAAGCACCTCCGAATGGAAGGAATAATATGGTAGGAATAATAAGGAAAGGAATCTCAACTACAGAGACCAATAGAGATGTCCATATAAAATCTCAGGATTTCAGCTCTGTAATATCCCTCATTACCAATTTTAATATAATTTAGTACAATTACAGCGTGAGATAAAAAAAACTGCAACAAAGTCAAATGTCATAATTTTTAATTCTTTTTTTTTTAATTTTTTATTGAATGAAAGCAAAAAATATCAGAAATAGCATCAAATTTAAGAATAAGTTTAAATTGGTTCGAATTGATCACCTTTGGTACGAATTATGGCCTTCAAACGGTCATTGAAACCGTCACACACTGCCTGAATGTTGCTCTGCGGTATTTTGGCCCATTCCCGCGAAGGGGTTTCTTGAGATGATCGACACTTTGGTATTTTTTAGTGACAACATTGATTTCCAAAATACTCCAGACAAATAGCCCAACGGATTGGTGTACTGAGATTTTGGTGGCCATTGTACGTTGGAAATGAAGCGAGGAATCTCATTTGTCCTCTTTCGGCCAAGCGAAGCAACTCTTTTGCTCTTTTGAGTCTATTTTCTTTCTGTTGCGGTGTAAGTTCTTGCACTTTTTTGTTTACAAGCGTACAAAAGCTATTTCTGAGAAATTTCCAGAACAAAAGTTATTCGAGATGGAGTTCAAGCGTGATAGTGTGATTTCTTTATATTTGAATATTGAAGAATAAGCTCGGGGTAAAGCAATTGAAACTCCAAAAAGTGCAAGAACTTACAGCGCAACAGAAAGAAAATAGACTCGAAAGAGTCAAAGAGTTGCTTCGCTTGGCCGAAAGTGGCGAATTTCCGAATTTGGTTTTCTCCGATGAGAAAACATTCGTTGTCCATCAGTTTGTAAACAAACAAAAAGATAGTGTTACCTGCCAAAGAGGTCAGCTGAAAATGTACACCTTCGGTTGGCCACCAGATCAGACTCAAGCGCCGGCCATGGTGATGGAGTGGGCCGCCATAACAGCCGATGGTCGCTTTCCGCTCGTATTAGTCGCGAAAAAATTCTGCAGGTCGCAGACCTTGGACATTCCGACAGGACTCAGCACCATCGCACTCAGCACGCGCCACCCAAGAATGGTTAAAACATAAGGTTCCCCGCTTCATTTGCAGCGCACAACGGCCACCAAAATTTCCGGATATCACTATTGTGTCTGGAGTATTTTGGAAAGCAAGGTTGGCACTTAAAATACCGAAGTGTGGATCACCTCAAGCAAACGCTTGGCCGGGTATGGTCCAAAATACCGCTGAGCAACATTCGGGCATCGTGCGATGGTTTCATTGGCCATTTGAAAGCCATAATTCGTACCAAAGGTGACCGATTCGAACAAATCTAAACTTATTCTTAAATTTTATACTATTTCCGACATTTTTTGCTGTCTTTTAATATAATTAAAAAAAAAACCAAGTAAGCAAGGTCTATAGTCGTGCGGGGCCGACCATGTAATACCCTACAACACTACAATATGTTAAAAGCCCCTTATGTCCAAATCCATTTTGGAAGATTTCGCTTTAGAAATTATGTCACGGAGCACTTTGACCAGGGACATTTGCCCATTATTTATGCACTCCGTCGTGCTGTTAGCTGTCCATTTTACTGCTAAATATGATCCAGTGGCCATCCAAAATGCTAGAATTCTTCCTTGTCCTTAACTCTCTTCTCAGGTGTTGTCGATTTTTTTTTTGTTTTTGGTTCATTTGAACCCCTAAATATTTTTCGATCATCTCCAGAGTAACTTGCCCCTCTGTATCTCCAAATATAGACTAATCTATATGATTTGCTTGTCCACGATATTTGGCTATATACGTTAACGAAATCAGCATAAAAAAGATGTTAGCCATTTGTGTATTTCGGATATCGCCTGTATGTAATGTTGGTATTTTGTCACACAAAAGTAGTGGTCCATTCTACCCGCTGCCCTAAACTCTAACTTCATGCGATATTCTGTGTTCTTTGGTTTCTATTTGTGACCTTTATAACGGCTGCAAAATCAGAAACTATTTTAGTTGTTGGTCGATTCCAACCCCTAAATATATTGCGGACATCTCTGAAAACAATAGGCCTCGCCCTTCTGAGCCTATCCCTACCCATGTGAAAATTTTCGTGAGTATCGGACGATAATTGCAATCTGTATATAATAACCCCAACCTGTGTTGTAAGTTGAAAAAATATTACAAAAAAAAAATACACTTCAATATTATAAGTCAAATTGAAAAAATCGCATGCGATAAAAATTATGAAAAAAATTTAAAATGTCACAAAATGCTACAAAAGCTATATTAACTTCATTATTAATATCTTTTTATGCGATTTTTTTTTTTTTTTTATTTTATACTTTTATGCCAAGAGGGCATTCTGAATTGACAAAATTAGTCAAAATCGGTCCAGCCGTTCCTAAGATATAAGCATTCTAGCTAACATCCCCTTCCTTTGTATATAAACATATATTTCACTATATATATCCGATATATTTACTATCGGCTTCTACGTAACGGTCAGAATTTAGCTGTGCGGATATTGTGATTTCGGACGGACGGACATACATAGCTAGATCGACTCAGCTCGGCGAGATAGAAAGATCCATATTTATTTTCCTATGTGGGAAACCAATATTTCGAGGTGTTACATAACTTTTGGCCCAATCAAACTTATAATACCCCCAACGCATAGTGTTGTAGTGTATAATAAATATTCCATAAATTTTCATGCATGTTGACTTCATATTTGTGTAGATATTATTTTATGGAGTTTTTTACTTTTTATTTCTCTTCAACATATGTAACCTTAATATGACATAAGAAGCTGCTCGCGGGAACGAAGTTAGATTTGTAAGTGGGGTACCTTATGTATGACAGGCAAAAAAATGGGTCACGATGTACTCTAGTCAGTTATTGTAAACATGGGAGTCATATTTATGAAACCAACATAATTTATGGTACGAACTTCAGCTGGTATGTGAAACAACATTTATACATGCAAATATATTTCGCAAACAATTTTCTTTTTATGCTCCCATCATTTGGGAGTTTAAAATATTTTCTAAATTGATTTGTATTTATTAAACGGCAATTTATATGCAAACACATCTTTACTTTTGATGGAGGGAGGAGGAAATTATTTTAAATGCTCTTGAATTACTTAAAAAATTATGCAACTATTAATATTTAGTGATTGTTTTCTTTTGTTTTTTTTTTCTCTCTCAAAATATCTTTATAAATTTAATTTATCTAGCTAATGAATTTGAGTTTCAATCATTGGCGGCAATTGCTTCGTTGGGATTTTTAACACAATGGGTAACAATTTGTTTTTAATTTTAATAAATGTGGGCTCAAGAAAGAACCAAATATCAGAATCAATTAATATAACACCAATGTCGGAACGATAATAGACCGTAATTAAATAATTTTCTACAGCTCTTAAAGGTGTACCTAAATAAGATAGGGACATATGTAATTTGTTTAATTAATTTTCTAAATTTTTACTTTCTTTACTTACTCTTAGTGACCACCATAAAATTTACTTGATTGCTCCCCATGCCCAGAGATTCTCCAATTCCAGCCAGAGCAAACCCTGCAACGATTTCCTTATTTTGAAATAACAAAATTATTCTTTGGCATCATCAAAAAAATTTGAATACAAACATACTTCTTTCGCTATAACTGCAATTAGGAAACGTTGCCCATCATATTGTGGAAATCGAACATGTCCGACTTTTGTTGGATCCATTGGAATTAAAAAATAACAAGGTGGAAGCAGCAGAAAAATATTGGTGAATGCAAATATTTGTAGACTAAAAATGTGACAGAAAATAAAAATTGAAATAATTAAAAATATGTATGCAAGGGATACCCTACTACACATTTGAAATGAATGACAATGTAAAGAGGGTTATGTTTAGACATACAAAACCAACAAGCGAAACCTTTATAGGTTTCATCGGGAGCTAACGTTCCATGGAAGCCAAAGAAAAAGAGGGCATTTTAACAAATTAAGGGCAATTCGTTTTAAAACAGATCAAAAATGTTGTAGCAAACATTTACCTTATATCTGTCATGTTGCACTACATATATGTACATCCATGGTACAATGATATCAAGGTAGGGCTATGAAACCATATGATTTTAATTTTTTTTATTTTCTTGCCTTAATATGTCATCTTTATTTGTTTATGTATGTGTTTTCTTTTCAATAACAAAAAAAATTGTTCAGAAAACATTCAAATTCGGGTGTTTTCAAAATGTTTGTTTCAAAATCTAGAGTTTTCGTAGCGAAATAATCCTTTAGAGATATATAGAACATGATTTTGAAAAGAAGTGTTGACCTTTCATTCAGTTATCGCGTTTTTCAATTATTTATTCAAAATAAATGCAACAAGTTGTTTGATTTTTTATTGTTTCGATACTAATTCTGACATTACAAGCCAAACAGGTAGACCTCTATACTTGCAATTTTTTCAAAGTTGGCCTACCTTCTCTTCTTTGTACCATGTGTACATCTAGATAACTATGGCTCTGGATTTTCGATTTTCTGAATGATTTAAAGTTGTAGACATTTTGGGCTATTCTGGCATGTTCTGTTGTTAAAAAAATTGCCCATATAAATCCCTTCTTATACCCATGGTACAATGAATTCAAGGTAGGCTAACTTTGAAAAAATTTCAAGTATAGAGGTCTACCTGTTTGGCTTGTAATGTCAGAATCACTATCAAAACAATAAAAAAGCTAAAAACTTGTTGCATTGATTTTGAATAAATTATTTACAAACGCGAAAAGGTCAAAATTTCTTTTCAGAATCATGTTCTATATATCTCTTATGGTTTATTTCGCCACAAAAACTGTAGACTTTGTCGATGCATACGTTGCAATAAGCATTTTGAAAACACCCGAATTTGAATATTTTCTGAACAATTTTTTTATTATTGAAAAGAATCCGTACACATAAACAAATGAAGTTGACATATTAATCCAGAAAAATAAAAAAAATTAAAATCATATGGTAATTCTGCCCTACCTTGAATTCATTGTACCATGCTTATACCCTACAAAACTACCTGGTGGAGATGTTATGAGTTTGATTAGGACAAATCAAGCATGCAATCACGCTCCAGGCCGCAATTGTAATCCGTTCTCAAGAAATTTCACATGGAGATCGAACAAAGGTCAGAATAGGAGCATATTGTGAAACACTTAGGGGTTGACATGGACCAAAAACATTCTTGAGTTTGCTGTTGCTCTAGAGGCTACAATTGTAGATATTGTATTTTTATATATGGCATCAACATCAATTTTTAGAACAAGTTTAGATTTGTTCGAATTGGTCACATTTGGCACGAATTATAGCCTTCCAACGGCCAATGAAACTGTCACACGCTGTCACATTCCCGGCAAAGCGGTTGCTTGAGGTGATCGACGCTTTGGTATTTTTAGTGCCGACCTTGCTTTTTAAAATACTACAAACCCAATAGTCCAACGGAATGTTATTTAAAGATTTTGGTGGCCATTGTGCGCTGGAAATGAAGCGAGGAACCTCATTTTGTAACCATTCTTGGATGGCGCGTGCTGAGTGGAATGTACGAGCTCTGCGGCCAAAATGCTTGCGTGCCCAAGACTTTAATATTCGGCATTAATTCTGATGCCACTGTAAATTAATACGAGCAGAGAGCGACCATCGGGTGTTACGGCGGCCCACACCACCACCATGGCCGGCGCTTGAGTTCTGGTGGCCACTGCCACACGAGTTTCGATCAAGTCGCTTCTTTACTTTTCGAACCATTACTGCTGATGTTGCTGCTGTCATCCGTCCAATTCCTTGATGTAGTCACGTTTAAATGCTGGAGTGCTCTAACGATAGCCACTTGTGGTTTTCCAGTCAAATATAAAGAAATTATACCATCACGATTAAACTCCATCACGAATATTTTTTTTTTTTTTGGAAAATTCTCACCAAAATGCCAATATAATGAGCTCTGTCACTGGGATAATTTTAACAGCTGTCGGACGAGTGGCTTAGAAATGACAGCAGTCTGAAGTTGGTTGCAGTTTTTTTATCTCACCCTGTACAAATATTTTTGCTAACACAAGATCTCTGGTATTTTGACCCAAAAATATGGCAGAACTATTTATATTGTTTCTAGAATGGTTGGTATTGAATATGAGATATATCGGTCCACTTTGTTCAATAGCCAACATATAAGGGTACCTACCGATAATTGGTTTTTTGATTATTTTTGCCACATTTTTTACGGATTTGTCTGAAAATGGTATTTATAGTTCCCAATGGGTTCTACCTCTGATGGCGGACCATAGTGTATTTGTCCACATTTTGGTATAGCCCCCATATAACGGTACCTCCCGATATTCCGTATTTTTATGATTTTTTCCACATTTTGCCACGGATTTGTCCAAAAATTGATATTTGTAGTTCGCAATGGGTTCTAGCTCTGGTGGCGGAACATAGTATATATATATATATATATATATATATATATATATATATATGTGTGTGTGTCTATGTTTTCGTATAGCCCTCACATAATTGGACCCCCGTATGTTCGGTATTTTCAAGATTTTTGCCACATTTTCCACGGATTTGTCTAAAAATTAATATTTGTAGTTCATAATTGATTTTAGGTATGGTGGCAGAACATTGAATATTTAGGTCTACGTTTTCCTATAGCGCACATATACGATACCCAAGATTATTAGGTATTTTAATAATGAATTTACCCACGAAATTTTTTCAAATGTGGTAGATGTCAATCCTTGAAGTATAAAATTGTCTATAGAGGTTCCCGTTTTGGTATGCCCCCCATATAACGGCCTCACTCACTTTATGGTTTTTCGAAAAGTTTAACAGTATCATCCATACGGTCTTACTGGTATTTTATAGTTTAAAGTGGAACACGTTTAAATTCAGATATTTTATATAAAAATGTTTTATGTTTTACCCAAAGGTGGAGGATATTAAAAGTTTGGCCCGACCGAACTTAATGTTTTGTACTTGTACTTGTTTAAAATGTTTGGATAAAAATTCCATAGATTCCTTACATTTTAATTATATAGTGTCTTCGGCAGTATTTCATAGTACGAGGATTATTTTGGTATAAAGTGTTAACCCTTCAGCGAGTCAACAAAGAGGTCTTTTTGTTCCTCTTTCAAAATAAACTCTGAAAACTACCTTTAAACGGGATCGTAGCAAGTCAAAATATTCTACTTAAAATAGGATTCCATATCAAAATACGTTCAAACAACTACCGTAAAAATGCGCAGTTCAATTATAAATTCAAAAATTTCAAATCCCTTCTATATTTACAATAATATTTTGTTCCCTTTCAGCCACTAACAATGTTCTCCTTCTTCTTCTTCTATGAAAAATGTCACTGACTTCTTTCCCAGTAGATTTGTGAATGCCTTTACATTCTACATGCTCCTTGAGTTGTCAACCATGTGACAGACATTATGCAAATATTAACTGTAAACAAACTTTTCAAAATGTACAATCCTCAACAAAATACACTCACATATGAATGAATGCAAACAAACAAGTTCTTTTGGCTGCTGCATTCGGAGAACACATAAACACACACACTCACACACACATATTGTTACGCACTAGATATGTTGAAGTGTCCTTAAAGTAAAACAGCTCCAATTAATGCGAAGAGTTGAAAAAAGTTAATTTACTGGTTTCAATTCAACTATTTCAATGAAAGTTTTATGCGCATGGATAATTGTTGAAACACGCTGCAGGTGAATGGCACTAACATAGCTTAGTGTTATATTTGAATTAAAATATTAATGAATAAAAATTTATAATGAAATAAACAAATGCTACACCCTATGACTCCAAATTAAATCAAGCAAATAAGAGACAAGAAAACATTAGTCGTACGGGGCCGACCATGTGATACCCTACAATACAATATATGGGAGAACCTCCTTAGGTACAAAATCATGTTTATTGTTTTTTTTTTAAATAATGCCATTTAGTACTGCACAAATGTTATTTTTGGTTTTTGACCGGAGCATTTGCCCTATATTTACCTCTATCTGTCGTGTTGATTGGCATTCAAAACAATTTCACATAAAAAACAATTTCCAAAATGCTAAACTTTTGCCGTGTCTCCTAACTATCTTTCTCTCTTCATGCATGCAATTATGTGTCGGATGGTTCTTAATTGTGACCCGTAGAGAGACTGCTAATTCTAGAAAATTGTAATTTTTGGTCCATTGGAACCCCTAAATATAAATCGTCAAAACAATAGGGTATCCATTCTGAGCCTAACCCTACCTCAATGCAAAATTTTATTAGAATCAAATGTCGAATGTTATTGTCCAATATATCGGGAGGTACCGATACAAGGGAATATTAAAAAAACCTGGAATAGCATAGACAATCATAAATCATCAAAATACCGAATATATGGAGGCTATACGAAAACGTGGACCTGCATACGCAATTTTTTGTCATAGGCTGTAGTACCCATTACGATATCTAAATACGAAATTTGAAACAATTCTGGTGAATATGTTCCTAAAATCATGAAAATTCCAAATATCGTGGTACTGTTTTATTGGGGCTATACGATATCGTGGACCTATACATAATTCTCTTCCAGGTGGTTTTAGAGAATTCCATTGAAAAAAGTAAATAAAATATACGATCTCGTGGACCCATATAGACCATAAACTTTCAGGGGCTAAATTACTCAGAATGAACTCCTTTTGGAGATTTGCAGACAATTTAATTTCAAACAAATTAAAAAGCTGAAAGTTCGGCCGGGCCAAACTTTGAATACACTCCACCACTTGAAAACAAA